GCCTTTGGGAGGTCTTGTATCTATAGAGCCATAACCAACTGGTGTTTTAAGCAGAAGTGTACCTTGATGAGATTTGTATTCTGTAATTAATTATTAATCTCTTAGGGTGGGGATCTGGTTTTCCTCTCCTTAATCTTTGTGGAAGCTTATGATTGCTCCAAGCTATGAAGTACAATAGCACCTCCCTCCTTATCCTGAAGGGATACATTTCAAGATTCTTACTGGATGCGTGAAGCCATGGCTAGTACAAAACCCTGTATACACTGTTCTTTTTCCTATACCTAACTGTGGTAAAGTTTTAATTTCTAAATTAAGCATAATTATAATATACTGTAATAAAAATTATGTGAATGTGGTCTCTCAAAATAATCTTATTGTACTTAGACTTTTTCACTTAAGGGAAGCACTTTTCAGCTTCTTTTGGCATATCCTAGTTGCCAGCATCACAACTCTTATGCATTGGGACCATAAGAGTTATTTATTTTATTAAATAAAATAAAGGTTACTTGAACATAGGCACTGTAATACCCTGAATAATGGATCTGATAACCAAGCCTAATGGGCAGATAGCGCATATAACATGGATACTCTGGGCAAAGATGATTCATGTCCCAGGTGGGATACAAGATGATGTGAGATTTTATCATGCTACTCAGAATAGCACAAATTGAAAACTTAATTGTTTATTTTAAGAGTTTCCACTTAATAATTCAGTCCATGATAGACTGAGGGTAACTGAAACTGGAGAAAGTAAAACCATATATAAGGGGGACTATTGTAAAACAAAATGATGCTACATGATTGCCATGACTAAAACTGACCCCCCACACACACACACACATATGCATCTGGGACCCAGATAACCCACAATGAGCTTCATAGCTAGACATGAGGGATGGTTTAGCCTTGGCATCTTTCAGCTGGACCTTCCAGAATGGGGCTACATTTATCAAGGAATAGAGGTGTCTTAGTTACTTTTCTTCATTGCTGGGACAAAATACCTGACACTCACAAGTTAAAGGAGAAAAGGCTTATTTTGGCTCACAGTTTGTAGAGGTTTCAGTCCACAGTCAGCTGTCTCACAGGGTAGCATAGCAGGGGGGTGTTACACAGGAGAAATAGTTGGTGACAAGCAGGCAGGAGACAGCAAAGGAGGAAGCAGCAGCAAGCAGAAGTAGCAGCTTGCCTCTCCTTTTTATCCCTTCCAGGCCATGTGCCTTTTGGGTGGTACCACTGACATCCACGGTAGGTCTTCCTACTATACACACCCAGAACTATTCTAAACTGTCAGTGGACTAATTTAGTAATCACACACCCATAATACCACTAACACACCCTTAATCCCAGAATCATGCACATTAGATCCAGCCACCTCCAAAAAGCTCCACCTATGACTACATGAGGCTTGGGGTGGGGTTATCTAGATACAAACCATAACAAGAGGTAAGCCTTCCCTCCTTTTCCCTGTCTAAATTTTTAACCCACAAACACCATGAGAAATAAATAATTGTGTTCAAGTCACTAAATTTGGGGATAATTTGACATGAAGAGCTAATTAATGGATGCACAGTTTTATAAGCATGATTTTATTAATAGAACAAAACAAAATAATGTCTTAAGAGATTCTATAAGTCCCCAATTTAGGAACATTTGAGTTGTGAACTTTCAAACATACAAACAGGGCTGGGGATTTAGCTCAGTGGTTCCAGCACCTGCCATGCAAGCACAAGGTCCTGAGTTCGATCCCTGGTACCAAAAACAAAAAAACAAAGATACAAACAGACCTTGCATTACAAACATTTGTAGATGCAAACAAATTGTGGAGGTAGCTTATGTATCTGCCAGACATTGTCACTGTTATGCTGCTATGTGCTTACTGTCCAGTGCCATAGTGTATAGTAGTACAGTGCTCAGTCAGAGCCTAGGATGTCCAGAAGCAAGGGGAAAAGCAGTGGTGATGTGGAGGGGACTGCTAGGAAGCACAAAACAATATACATTGTGTATTTGTGTAAAAGGTGTTTAAGACTCACTTTGTTGGACTTGAGAATGAATCTAACTTACTAACGTTCTCCCATACAGAACTTGTTCATAAGTCAGGGACTTACTGTAATGAGACGATCAAGATCTAGTATAGCAGATATGGTGCTGTGACATAGTTGATGTGTAGCTGTAGTAGGTCAGTGAAATTGTGCTATTGTCCTTGACAAGTGAAAGCCTATCTTAGGTATTTATATTTATTGGGCTGGGGGAAAATAAAAGTATTTAACATTATTAACTGTGTTACCAGTGTCAGTGGTATTGATTTGCTCTTGTAAAAAACTGTATTTGGGAGGCTAGAGCTATAGATCAGTGGTAGAACACTTGACTAGCATGTCAGAGGCCCTGGGTTCAATCCCAACCACCACAAAAACAAATAGACAACAAAACACAAAAAACACTGTATTTGGAATAAAAGTTACAATTGGAAATGCCAGTTAATTAAGTTCATGGTGGTCCACTCTCATACTGCAGTACAGTAGGAATTATCATATTTTCATCTTTTGAATCTTTAAGATGATACTGATCTCTAAAGTTTCCTCTGGAAATTTATGTAGCTAGTCAATAAATATTTATTAAGCACTTATCATGTGACAATAATCATTGTTCTAGGTGCAAGGGTGAACAGGCAGGCAAGAGAGAATACCATGTAAGGAGGGAAGCAGATTATATACAAAAATAATTTTACAGTACATTGCCAGGCAGTGATAGGTGCCTGAGGTAATAATAATTTTCTCCAAGAACTTACACATGGCCCTTCCTGTTATAATAGCCCCTACTCCGTGAGTTATGGAGTCAAAGTGAGGGTGCATCTCATTGCTCAGTGTGTCTCATTCTGCCTGTGTCCTTAGGTCATGGAGAAATAACCATGGGTTGAGCATCTCGGATTTCATGGGACCTACCATGAGGTGCACTGGCTCAAAATTTCATTTAATACCTGTTTCTTATAAGTCTCAATATTACTGTGGTCCTGGGCTCCAAGAAATTAGATCTCTTGGAAAAGCTGAGGAAGATGCACAGTATGTCCTTTTAGAAGTTGGTATAAACACCTTCTCAGGTATAATGACCACTCCTTCAAAGAGCTCTGCATTGGTCTGGGGGTATAGCTCAGTGGAAGAGTGCTTGTTTAGCTTGCAAGCTTCATGGAGTAGGTGCTAGGGACCATCATGAACTTCTATCCCTAGCACTACAAGAAGGAAGGAGGGGAGGAAAGGAAGGAAGGGAGGGAGGGAGGGAGGGAGGGAGAGAGGGAGGGAAGGAGAAAGGAAGGAAGAAAGCTCTGCATTGTGATTTTATCCCAGTCTAGAAATTGGTTGAGATTCTGTAATTCTCTTTGGGGGGATAGTGCTGATGAAGCTCATATTGCACAGATTTATCATTTTAAACCAGTGGCAAATCAGGTATTAGCCAACTTCAAAGATCTCTGTAGATCAGATCATTCTTATCATCTGGCCAGTGGCCTATTCAGGAACCTCACTGACTTTGCCTCTGGCAGTGAAGTCCAGTCTTGGCCTCTGCCATCCCTTGTATCTTTGCATCCCAACCTTTGTTGATTTAGCCTTGATCATTATCTTATATTCTAATAATTACCTTAACTAGTGGTGGTCCATTGACCAAGGACAAAAGCCAGACTTTACTAAAGAACTTGCAAAGAGCTCCAGTAGTATTCTTAGGAGAAAGCTTTTATCAAATTCTTTATCAAGTAACAGCTCTCTGCAAAGAATGCTTTTGGAGGGGGTGTCAAATGCATGGCCCTCATACTGAGCTGCATTCCCAGCCCTTTTTTATTTTTTATTTTGAAACCAAGTCTTGCCAAGTTGCCCAGGCTAGGCTCAGACTTGAGATCCTTCTGCCTCAGCCTCCCAGAGTGCTATAACGATAGGCATGCACAGCCATGCCCGCCCACACACTCTGTAATTACTCTACCAATACAATTTTTAAAGCAGAAATTTGTTTAAAGCAGATATGTCAGGGTCATCCAGTGAAGTTCTCTAATACACTATCTTGAATATTTTGTAACAACCTACTCTGACTAGAAAGGCATTTTAGGGCTTTTCTAAATTATCACAGACACTATTCTTACTTTATTATTTGAGTGAATGTGCCTGGGGTGAACTTAACTAATTAAAAAAGTCACTAGCATCTACTCCAAAGCAACCTGTTTCCTTCCTGCAGCAGGTCTCCATTTTTTAAAAAATCCTCATTATTTATGCCCCTTCTTTAAAATGTGTACCCTATTGGTCTTCATTGGAGAAATACCTTATTCAGCATTTATTGCTTCTTTCCATTTCAGTGGTGGAGACATGTACTAGGCATATGAAAGGAAAGATCAATAATTTCTGGCACTTAATGTATAGTGCACTTGAGACAGACTCAGGATTTAAAGGAATGAGGCAACTTGGGGTTAATAACTACACTCAAATGTGATTTCATTAGATGCCATTTGAATTTCTAATTCTACCCTTCTCTTCGCTCTGTGCTTCTGCAAGTCTGAAAGAATCTCTAGTGCATTCTGTCTTCTGAGACCTGTGAAACACTACTCAGCCACCCTTCACAATTTTGTCCATTCAGAAAAGGGCACAGAGTTCAAGGAATAACTTCAAAATGGACCTCAGCCTTTCTCTAACGTTCCCAAACACTTGTGATTCTTTTTGTGGCTTACTTTTTTTCCCCCCTTACAGGGATCAAACTTGGGACCTTGCCATTTGCAAGGCAGGCAGCAATACCACTAAGCTAAATCCCCGGCTCTAGACTATATTATTGATAACTAGGTCCTTTTGAATTATTCTTTGTGTTCTTTACAATAAAAATATGAAGATGTTTCGAGCCTTTACTTTATAGACACATCCCTAAACTCTCTCCATTTATTAATTCAATCCTCTTAACAACTCTGTAAGTATTATTACTTTCCCATTATATACACAGAAAGAAACCAGAGATGCACAGAGAGGCTAGTAACTTACCTAAGTGTCATATGCTGGGAACTGATGGAGCCAGGATTTGAATACAGACCGTCTGATTCAAAGTTGGCACCTTCTAAAGTCCATACAGGAATGTTGACTAACACTATATTTGGAGAATCTATAAGAAAAAAATTTCTGTCTTCTTTATATTGTACTGTTTATGAGAGAAGTGTTTAAATGTACAGAAAGTCAAATAGAGTGATTCTCTCTTGAGGTAAGCTGAATTTAGTTGGATCCATAACGTTCATCCCTTCCTAGTCTCAGCAGTAGGATGCTTTCAGATACAGGCAGTTGAAATTTCCCTCCAGCTGGTTTCTAAAGGAGATAGTTTGGCTCCCTAAACTACAAGTCCAAAAGTAAGATGAGATCTTACTGGTTTTACCAGCTTCTTTCTATTTCTCTGGTTTGTTGTCTTCTGTCAGCTTTATCCTAAAGCTGGCTTGTCTTCTGCTCTTACAGCAAATGGACTGGCATGGTTATGCATTTCCATCTAGTGAGAAAGAAAAAGCTGCTCCCACTGCTTTCCCGGAAGACTGAAGAAAGGCTTTCCTGAAAGACTACTACCACATGTGGCTTTCCATCACATCTCCATGGCCCAGTTAGCATCACATGCCCTTTCTTGCAAGGAAATGAAATTATCCTTAAGCCACTCAAGCCTATCTCTGAAACCTGGAGGGTGTGGCCATCATCTCAAGGCACATGAATGTGGGGAAGCCAGGGGGGATGGTAGCAGAGAAAGCTGAGCAAAATTGTGGTCCTCTTATGATAGAAAAAATGGAGGATGATGATTAACTGACACCCAGCAATATCCAGCATATTCCCAGGGAACCCATTATGTATTTTCCTTGTCTCTGATTCTATTTTCTTTAAACTGGTATTGTAGTAATAGCAACTTCTCATAGAATGGGTTTATGAGTTAAGATAGATAGAAGTTTAACACTACAAATATGAGTTGACATTGTTGCTGTGTTGCTATTATAGTTGGGGTCTATTCTTCAGAGTATGTTGTGTGAGAGGAACAAGAGATCAGATGTGTTTGGTACCCGCCAACCCACCATTCTTGCCTCCTGGAACCTAATTTCTCCCACCTGCATTCCTCATTTTTTCCCCATGAAAAATATTTTTGTAACTTTACTCATTTGTAGTTCATTTTTCATTTTAGCTGCCCAAAGCAATGTGTTTGTGGTTTTATGCTCTTGCTCATCATGACATCCCGTGCCCTAGAATCCCAGATGACTTCCCCCTGGTACCATCCTTTTTTTTTTTTTTTTTGGTACCAGGGATTGAACTCAGGTCCTTGTGCTTGCACAGCAGGTGGCTAAACCACTGAGCTAAATCCCCAGCCCTCCCCTGATACCATCCTACTGTCAGATCTCACTTCCTAGCACTGTTGCTTTGAACTAGGTTCCAGTCCAACTTGCCTCTCACTAATTGTGTGATTCAGGACAAATAATGTCAACTCTGGGCTCCACTTCCCACTGCAGTAAAATGAGGGGCTTAAACCAGTTAATCTCTAAGGCACCTTATGATTTTGTGAATTTCAGGCAGCAAGGCAAAGAGAAGTGAAGCATTTCAGCAAGTGAAAGAAGGGATTTTCAGGGTCAAGGGATTTTAAAGAATCAGTAGAGCTACACTGGTTTTGGGTTCCAAAGACAGACAGACACACATGCACATGTACTCGCTGCGAACATGTTAGCAGTCAGTAATGAACATCACAACTGGAACAAAAACAACTACTAAAGCAGAAATGGGCCCAATTACAGGGCAGACCTGAGGGAAGGAGATGTGAAAAGTGAGGTGATGAGACCAGAACCTTAAATGTACCCAAGTTTGGCAGGCCTGAGGGGGTCCCTGGGGGTGGAGAATTATCACTGCTATGAACATGGCTTTGTGGGCCCATGAGAGCCAGAATCATAGGGATCTCTGAAGAGATAAGCCTGACCTAGCTGCAGGAACACAGCTACAGTATACTGGGTCTGACCTTGTTTTATTTTTCCCTTCTTAGTTTCATTTGGGCCTCAAAAGCACAAAGGCCAAGATCCAACAAGAAATATGTTTCAGTTATATTCTCTTGGCTGCCTAAAAGACCTCTTTTGGCAGGATTTCTGGTGGTTGGTCCAAGCCTGAGGCCTTTTTTTCCTGGAGTTTCCATCACCTTGTTTGCAAGAGAGGAAACTCTAAGCATCATTATGCAGGGCTAGAGAGACAGCTGCATTCTTTATTAACTTGGAATCCATCAGCCCTTTCTTTTCCTCTTCGACTCCCAAAGAGATCAAACAACCTACGCACAACGTGCATACAACTGCACATACAATAATAATGCTTACAAAAGCTGCTATTTATCGTCTGTTTATTATTGTCAGGCATGAAACCAAAATTCTATATGTTATCTCAATTATTAATAAAAATGGCAAATATTAATGTGGTATACAGACATTAAAAGGTATAAAAATTGGTACATATTGATAAAGTACGCAGTCCACCAAGATGCTACACTGCTCATGAAGTTGTATGCACCTAACAACATAGTTTCAAAAATGTATAAAACAAAAGAGCAAGGAAATATAAAAAGAATCAAGATGTGTTAGGTACAGATACCAACTTCCCATGCTATTTTAGTCATGTACTGCAAGGAGGTACTAATAAAAATTTAAAATTGTAATACTAAAAAGAAAACACTTAGAAGTTAACAGAAAAAATAATGTAATAGAATCAACCTACTTAATGCAAACACTTTTATAAATGATTATTGCATCAGTTAGGGTTTCATCAGAGAATTACAGAGATTTTACCTTATGCAGTTGTGGTTGTTTACTGAACAGTCTCCATAAAGCTATTGTGATTGCATCTAATGCTGGACCTTGAAGTTCTTGAGGCAAGTGGTCAGGATGTAAAACAGGAAGAGCAAGAACAAACTAGAACTCCCAGGCACAAACTGGAGGCAGTGAGTCAATGAGGACAGCCTAAAACCTGTGTCAGTTCTCTCTCTCTCTCTCTCCACTCTCGTTTCCTGGTGTAGAAGTCACAGAGGCTCAGGAAGATTGAGGAGAAGGTAGAGTAGTTCTAGTCCTAGCCACAGTTCACATCAGCAAGAAGAGGCAGCAAACCAAGTATGTGAGCTACCCAATGGCTGTTGCTTCATTTACACCATCCAAATCATCCATGAGACTCATTCTTGTGGTCCAATCTAACTGGAAACATACAGCAAAGGAAATTCTGGTAATGTAGTTCAGCCTGGCCAAGGTGACCCATTACAAAGCCACAGCACTAATACATCATAGTAAGCATGCTTCTGCCTAACAATACAATGGTCCCCACATACCAAAAACATATTAATCCAGAGATCAGAAGACATTTTCTTAAAGGGCAAAGTAGTAAATATTTTAGGTTTCTCAGGCCATCTGATTTCTAAGGCAGCTACTCAGTGCTAACATTGTAGCATAAAAGCTGTCATACACAATATATAACCTAACAGATGTTCCAATAAAACTTTACTTACAAAAACAGGTGGCCAGCCCTTGAGCTATAGTTTTTTGTTTGCTTGTTTGTTTGTTTTGCCATAGTTTTCTGGCCCCAATTGTTAATTCTTTCATCAAAAGAGAATAGAGTCCCTTTTTGGATTTGGTTGATCTTTATTCCTCTTCTAGTTGATTTTCATACTACCCTTTAATATTCTGTAACTTAAATATTGAGGTGATATTTAACTTGGCAGCCCTATATTAGATAAAGAGATGAGAAGGAATAAAATATAAATATCTGGTTTATATTTATACAAACATGCATATTGAAATAAGGGAAAAATGGCCAGAGATTTAGCTCAGTGGTTCCGCCACCTGCCTTGCAAGTGGAAGGATCCAAGTTCGATCCCTGGTACCGAAAAAAAAAAAAAAAAAGAAAGAAGGGAAAAATGCTAAAATCCCTCTTTTCTACATCTGGTCATGTGGTCATAGATGCTATTTATAACTATCCTCTTCGAGTACCCATTTATATTCCCTCACCAAGTCCCTTAAATGATGGTTCCTTGTCTGCTTCTAAATCTATAGTCCTAAAAGGTTTGAGCCATTAATAATCCTACTTAAATTGAAGGTTGTTGTAGTTTTTCCATTGAATTAATAATCACAGAATATGTACTCTACAAGTTGCCCTAGAGCCATGGTGGCGAACCTATGGCACATGTGCTGCAGCCATTTGTCTGTTATCATTGAAAACGCTAAAAGGTTCACCATCACTGTCCTAGCCGATCTCCTGCATTTGAGACATAGCCATTGTGCAGTAACAACTTAATTTCCCCTTAATGGTCAAGATCATTCACCCATCCAGGATAATAACCCCTCTTTACCTGTTGACTCAATAGCATTAGGAGCCCAAAATGGTCAGGTGACAGTCTCAGCCTTTAATTCAGTGGACCCATTGTTATGTGCCTGGAGGAAGCATTTTTCTTTTTGGAATTAAGACTTCTAGATCAGCAGCACCTAAAGTTGTGGGGATGGGAAACAAGAATTACACACTAGTGGATTACTAGGAGGGGTAATGAAAGCAACTGCTTCCATTTCTGTCCCCTTGATGCCTGCAATGGAAGAAAGAGCACCTTATAATTGACATTGGTTTGGAGCATTTACCACAGCCTGCAGGACCTTGGTTCAGCCTCACAACATGTTTCCACCTAGCTAGTGTCATTACTTAGCCTTCAAAATGTTATTATTCCACTGTTCTGTCATATCATTTGCTTCTTAATAATGGCTAACATGGAAGACTTCCATGAGGATGGGCTCATTACCTCACTTCACTTGCTGTGAAGTGAGTTTCTTGGTCAAAAGTGAAGTTATGTAAAATACTATGTTGTTGGATAGTACTCTGATCATAGGGTACTCCCCATGGGCCATAAATGTGCTTGAGGCCATAGGTAGTATGAATAGGGGGCATGGGCATCTGAGTTATTTCTTCATGCAACTTAGGCCTTCAGAACCCATTTCAGTCCAGTTCATAGATATGAATATGTCTGTTCTAATTAATCATTCTAATACTGGGAAAATAACCACACAATGGGGTTGGAGACAAATTGGGCCCACAGTGAGATGGGCCTTAGCCATGCATTAGCCTTAGCCATTTATTGCTGGGTAAAAAATTATTCTGAAACTTATAAGCTAAAATAACCAAACATTATCTTAAAGTTTCTGTGAGTCAGGAATCTGAGACAAGCTTAGTTGGGTACTTCTGGCTCAAGACTTTTTTGGAGATGATGGATCCACTTCCAAGTTCATTCACCTGGTTGTTAGCAGGCTTCAGTTTCTCTGCATTGTTGGTCTGAGGCCCTCGGTTCCTCACCACACAACGTAGGTATTCCCTTAAAGTTGCTCAGAATATGGCAGAATGCTTACCTCAGTGCAAGTGATCTGGGAAGAAAGAATGAACCAAACACAGAAGCCATAGTCATTTTATAACCCAGTATAAGAGATGTCAGCCCATTATTTCTGGCATAGTCTATTTATTAGAAATAAGGTCCAAAGTACACTCAAGATGAAGTGACTAATCAAGAGTGTGAATGCCAGAAAACGAGGGTCATGCGAACTGTTTAGAGGGTTGCCTATCACATTGGATTATTGAAGTAAAATACAAATTCTGAGTTATTTAGAAAAAAAACCCACTAAGAGTCAAAAGAGCAAAATTCAGGAAGTCTTTACATAACACATCCATTTTACAGATTTGAAACTGAAAGCATAGAGCTGTTCAAATGTATTTCTCCAGGGTCATTTACTTAGTGGAAAAACTAATGCTCAAACCTCAGTCTAATTCCAAAGACTTATTCTGAGTGACTTCTCCCTCCAAAATGTCTTTCAGTTAGGTCATTTATGCCTGTTGGCTTCTGTTCCCTTTTCCTCTCTGCCTTCCTACTTTTCTCTCCTTCTCTTCCATCAAAGAGAAAGACTTTTTGGGGATTGGACCACTTATGAGACCCTTAAATGTAAGGCCAATATCAAATTGTAACTCATGACCCACCAAACCAAACTGTTCTTTTTCTCTAATGACTTTACATCTTTCGTTTGTGCTATTTGAGCAGGAGCCAGTGATACTGATACCAGAACTCAGACATGTTAGTTCCTTGGCAACAACAGCTGAGTTGTCTTTGTAGGCACCTCAAGTTTCAGAGCTTCTCAGACTTCCCCTCTAAAAGGCTGGAGTACCTTTCAGAACAATAAATCAGATATTTAGAACATAATTTAAGTGGTTTAGTCATGGACTCCCCCATGCCCACCCATCCCTTTCTCTTCCCCTTCCCTCCTTCCTGGAGGCCCAATCAGCAATATCTCAGCATTAATTTCTGTAGTCTGGGAAAATGCCGGGGTCACACCTGGCTGCCCCAAGGACAGTTTCCCTTCCCACTGCCCACCTACAAATGAAGATGCAACTTGCAAGCATAAAATATTCATTTTCTTTATGTAGCTGAAATAAACCTTATACCACAAATTAAGAGTTGAAAGAAATCAACTTTATTTTCTAGTAACCAAACATAATTTATGTTATGAGCCTTGTTGCAGGTAAAAATAAAACCCTCGTGTGTCAATTCAGAGGCTATACTTCGGGTGGACTTGAGCTTGAAGTACAGGCTAGTAGGAGGGAAAGGGGACTCTGGCCTTTAGTTCTCATCTGTCTGTACCTGCATATACTGGAGGAACATCATTCAGCTGGTCTGCAGTCAGAGCCATTCTCAGCACCTTGTGGTCCTCAGACCTCTAGGCCCTTCTGTGCCCTCTCAGAGACTCAGAAAGCAGCTGTCCTTCTATCCCCTCAGACAGGAAGATTCTACAATATCTAGGACCTTCCTGGAAGCAAGGTACAGCTTTCCTCTTATCCTAAACACCTGTAAGTATCTGAGGGAAGGTCTTACTTTCTTCACACTCTCCGGGAATTGGCCCTGGGGTGAGCCAGGGGACCCTATCATATCCTAATTCCTCTCAGATGATCTCTTCTTCCTCCTCCTTCCTCTTCTTCTAGAGACTTATTATCTAAATCTCAAGTGAAAAGGAAGGAAAACTATCTTGGATTAATCAAATATTATTGTAAGGCGTTTTGCCTTCTTCCTGAACCTAAGCTTTCGAAATTCAAATGATAAAATTTCATTCTTTTGTTCTCTGATTTTTCTATTACAACCTTCTCTAGGACAATCCAAATCTCAAGAATGGAGGAAGGGCCATAGGATTAATTAAAAAATTATAAGGCTGTATGTATATCAACTAATATCAAAATATTATCCACTACAATTAAAGACATTTCTCAGCCTTAACATAAAAATGATTTCTTTTTAAATTGCAGCCCTTAATTTTTCTTTTTTTAAGAATGTTTCTTTTTAAATTAGTTAAATAATTAATTTTTATTAGTATTTGTTTGTGTTACATAATGAATATAATCTTTGTGGAGTGTCAATACAATGTCAGATCTTAAATGTTCCTCCAAAGGCTCATACATCAAAGACTTGTTCCCCAGAGTGGCATTTGTTGAGAGTCAGTAAAACTTCTAGTTGGGGATGTGCACTCAGAGGGCACCCAGCTCCTCCTCCTCTCTCTTTTTCTGCTCAATTATAAATGAGGTCAGCTGTTTTTTTTTCTGCCACATGCTCCCATCATGATGTGCAGCCACAGACTCAAAGCAATAGGGCCAATTGAGCATGGCTGAAACTTCTAAAACTGTGAACCAAAATAAACTCTTCCTCTTTACGAGTTGATTATCTCAGGTATTTGTCATAGTGACACACAGAATACAGAGGGAGAGTTAGAAGTGATGCATCTGCAAGCTGAGGAACACCAGGCATTGCCAGCAAGCACCAGAAGCTAAAAGAGGCAAGGCAGAATTCTTCCTCAAAAGCATCATATGAAAATGTGGTCTCACATTTGGGGGTGTCTCATAATTGACCCAATAAGGTAAAGATTCCAATCCCTGAATAGTTTGTCTCTGATGAAAGATGAATCATGCGTGATCTGACACTTTGATTTTGAACCTCCAGCTTCCAGAACTGAACTGTAAGACGTTAAACATCTGTGGTTAAGGCACCTGGTTTGTGGTACTTTGTAATGGTAGCTCTAGGAAATGACTCCATTGGTCTAATTAAAGATTCAAAAAAATTCAGACATAGAAAAGTAGATACAGAGTAATTCAGTGCCCAACTATGTGACACTGAGAAGAACTGCAAAAGCAATCCAGAGACTCTCAGACTGCCTGATTTCCACCCATAGACTCTCCCAGTCCTCAGGAGTGATAGGTTACTTCACTCGTAGCATTGACACAAATAACTTTCTATCTCCTTGATATTTTAGGCCTCATGCTCCAGGATCTCCCAAGACAAATATTCCAACCAAAGCTCTAAATTCCCAGAGAAAGTGATTCCTTTCAAATACAAATATAGGCTACTGGGACAAATAGGATAATCCTTCAGATCTAGGAAAGTTATTACTTGGTCTTTTAGCCTCAAGATGGAACCAACTACATGTGTTTGAGTTTCCCCTAAACAGAACCTCAACAAACAGGAGAACCTCATCTTTTGGAGTGGGACTTTAAATCATTGCTTCCCTAGACTCTTGCTGATTGGGTTATAATGATGAATCCTATCTAGCATGTTGGACTGCGGGGTCCTCTTCTCTTGGGACCTCTTATGATATGGGCCACTGAATGTTAGTTGCCTCTGTTGATGCTTCAGGGGCAACCAGACACATAACCAATAAATTCTCTTTCCATATTCACATGGTTTACTGTTCAACATATTCTGCTTTCAGAAAAGGAAGTAAGAAACAAGGAAGGAGATGGCCTTAAAGGGAAGAGTGGCAAGAACAGAATAAAAAGGTAAATCAAAAAAAGAAGATTGGTTAGGCTGCTAACAGGAATCATCCTGATTTGCTTTCTCTCATCTACCACATCCAAATCATAAGCCAGTATTATCCATTTTACATCCAAAACACACCTTCAGTATCTCACTGTCACTCTCTTGCTCTCTCACTTGCTCCTCACATTTTTTTTAAACCAGGAAAACCTTATCTCTACCCTGGACTACTGCTTAGACCCCCCTAACTGATGTCTCTTTTTGCACAGAGATTATTCTCCTAATTCATTCTCTATAAGGCAACCACAGTAACCTTAAATCATTAAGGCCGGGGATTTAGCTCAGTGGTTCCGCCACCTGCCTCAAAAGCCCAAGGACCCGAGTTTGATCCCTGGTACCAAAAAATAAAAAAAATTTTAAAAAGTAACCTTAAATCATGAATGAAACCACTTCTGTCTCCTAATCAAAATACTTCAGTTTTTGTTTTCAGCCAAGATGGAGTAACAGATCAGATCTGTTTTCCTTTCCCTAAGCAACTAGAAAAATGGACAAAATGTATTTCTGGGCAAGTAGTACAAAATTATGGAGACAAGGGAAAGCAAAAAGGTGAATCCTTTAATTGCATGATCTCATAGCCTGGAGGCAGTTTCCAGGCCATATCACTAGAACAGGTAAACCAAAAGATTTCCAAAGGTTGGTGAGATAGAGAGCTGGCTAGAGGAAGTTATTCTACCAAGGAATCCCACCAAGTCTGAGTTCTGATCTATGCATATTTAGGAGAATCTATCCAAGACCGGAGGAAAGAACCACATGAAAAACAGTAATTCACATATCTGAGAATAGTTAATGATTCCATGACCCAGAGTAAGAAGGCATAATACATGGGGACTAGAAAGAGACTTGTAGAGACTGCAAAAGGGTTTCACCTTAGTAGTAAATTAGCCCTAGATTAAAGGCTACTCTGGACATGGTTTAACAAAGTTTAAAACCTCAAAATAAGCTAAATAATTCTCAGTAGCTTAGTTGTGCAACAGAACAAAATCCAACATTTATTAGTGAGATAGAACAAAATCTAGCAACTGGGCCGGGGATTTAGCTCAGTGGTTCTGCTGCCTGCCTCCCAAGCACAAGGACCCAAGTTCGATCCCCAGTACCAAAAAAAATAAATAAAAAATTTTTTTAAAATTACCAAGCATGTAGATAGTACAGTACTTCTGGCTATGGCAGAATGAAGAGGCTGATGAGTGCTGTCTTCACAAAATAAATGTAAGCTATACAAAAATATCAATCCTAAGAACTTCACAACACTGGAAAATGAATAAGGCAAAAATTGAGAAGCATCTATTGATATTTATAAGAATTTGTAGAGCCTTGGGTAGTAACTTCAGGAGTCTGAATGGGTGCAAGTCCACAAGGTTGCTTATTAAGAATGGGGGAAAAAAAAAAACAGCTTTGCTGACAGAGGGGCAGAAAAATAACCAAACATATATTTCCAGACAGGTAGTACAAAACTATATATTTCCAGACAGGTAGTACAAACTCTTCCCTGAGACAAGGGAAGCCATGATGATCTCTATAATTGCATGATCTTACTTCCTGGAGGCAGTTTCCAGTCCGTATCACTAGAAGACATAAAAAGTCTCCATGGTTTACAGAGAGATCTGGCCTAGAGGAGGTTAAAGTGGCTAGAATTTGGGAAGCAGATTGCTGGAGAAGGGTGAGTAGTACTTTCCCTGTCTTGAGGGAGAAAGCAAAGCCATAGCAGCACTGACAACAAAAGAAGAAAGTTTGGTAGTAAATGAAAAGGCAAAACCCACCACTCTGCTAGCCTGAGTTTGTGATCACTTTTGAGGCAAGCAACAAGAGCAGGTTGAAAATTAACAAGGAAATCCTGGAAATGACAGAGCCATAGAAGAGCTAACTTGATTTTCCACTCATTTACTCACTGAGTAGAAAACCATACACACACATACACAAACCAAGAGAGCCCACTGGAAAGCAAAAAGCCTACACAGTCTTGAGAACTAGCTGAACTTTAAATGTGCCTGTGACACATACATAAATAGGCCAGCAGAGGAGTGAATGAAAATTTTATGAACTCAAGGTATTGGATCAGAGTCTTTGCTGAAATCATTGGCTGACCATTAAACTTTGACAGTACAAATATGAACTATAGTTAATCAGGATAAAAAATTTAAAAAGAATAAAAAAATCTGAGGAGAAATGAGTAGGTGGCATGCAGCCCACAGAAGAGAAAGATTCCACTTGGTAAATCCAAGCAAATTATTTTTAAAAATGAGGAAAATCATAATACAGAGTTGCTATATTATTCAAAAGGCTCAGTTTTCAATCTAAAAAATATGAGAAATTCAAAGAAAGTAAGATTTATATTCAGGAAAACTCAAGTCAATAAAAACTAATCAGTGGGCCCAGATGTTGGACTGAGCAGACAAAGAGTTGTAAGCAATTATTGCAAACATATTCAAATAAGTAAAGAAAACTGTGTTCAAAGAATGTAAAGAAAAGATGAAGATGTCTAAGAAACAAGGAATGTCAATAAAGAAACAGAAGTTATAGGAGGGGTTGAAGGGAGGGCTGGGCAAGGGTGAAAAATAAGAACCAAGAGAGACTATGTAAAGATACAAATTTCCAATGATGAATGTCATTATATTGTATACCTAAAATGTACCAATGATTAGAATGAATAATCGATAATGTAAAATAGGAAGAAAAGGTCCAAAGGGGTAGGGGTAGTGGGAGGGGCAGGGGAAAGGAAAGAAGGGAAAGGAAAAAATGATGAGAAATGGAAAAAATGGAAATAAAGTCTTTGTAAATAGGGAAGGGTGGAGGGCATGAAGGGAGGGCTAGGAATGGGGAAAAAATAAGAACCAAGATGCATTATATAAAGGTACAATTCCCAATGAGAAATGTAATTGTGTTGTATACCTACAATGTACCAATAAAAGAATTTAATACAAAAAAAGTTATATATTAAAAAAAAGAACCAATGTAAATTCCACATATAGATTAAAATATATGACTAATTATATAACAAAGGAAGGAGAAATGGAATGAACCATATTTGCTATACTTTCCTGGAATTAAATCAATATTAACCTGAATTAGATTTAGATTGTGATTATTAACATGTATACTGTAATCCATAGAGCAGTAATGTGTGTGTGTGTGTGTGTGTGTGTGTTTCCTCTTGGTTTTCTCTGGAGAACCCTAATATATACATAGCAAAAGATATATTATGTACACAATAACAGTAAGAAAAACTAGGTAACCATATTATAAGACCAAATAAACATTCAGACAAGAAATATTACTAGAGAAGGGAAGAATTTCATGAAGGTAAAAGAAATACTACATAAATACAAAGATAAAAAATTACAGAAGTATATACGCACCTAATAACAGAAGCCTAAAATACATTAAGCAAAAACTAACAAACTTGAAAGGAAAAACAGACATCTAGTCAGAGATTTGAACACTCCTCCATAATTTATAGAGCTAGATAGTAATTAAAAATATAGAACACTTGAACAGCACTGTGAATCAACTTGACCTAATATTTATAGAACACTACAATCAATAATAGCAAAATACTTATTCTTTTTAAATGTTGATGGAGCATTCTCCAAGGTAGTCCATATGCTAAGACAAAGTAAGTTTCAGTAAATGTTGAAAAGATTGAAATTATTCAAAGTATGTTCAGTGACCACAACAGAATTGAATTAGAAGTCAACAACAGAAGATTTGAGAAATTTTCAAATGGTTAGAGGATAAATAACACTTCTAAATAGCCCACAGGTTAAAGAAATCACAAGACAACTTGGAAAATAGACCAGATGAAAATAAAACACAAGCTCTCAAAATTTGTGGCATATAAAGTAATACTTAGAGGAAAATTCATAGATTGACTTACAGTAGAAGTCAGAAAATTCTAAAATCAGTAATCTAAGCTACCACATCAAGAAGCAGACTAAATCCAAAGAAAATCATATCAAGGCACATTATAATTGTGTTAATCAGCTTTCCATTGCTACAGCAAAATACCCAAGAAAATCAGCTTAAAATAAAGAAAGACTTATTTTGCCTTTCAGTTTCAGTCCATGGTCCTGTGGCCTTAATGAGGTCGCATTTTGGTCTGTGGTGAGGCAGAGCATCATAACAGGTACATTATGGTGGAGAAAATCTGCTCACTTCTTGGTGGCTGGGAAGAGAAAGAGAGAAGGGAGGGTGGGTAAAGATTCTGATACCCTCTCCAGAGGCGTAGCCCCCATGACCTCATTTCTTTCCAGTAGGCTCTACCTACCAAAGGTTGCACTGCTGAGAGCCACAAGCTGGCATCTAAGCCTTTAGCACAAGGGGGGAACTTCAAACCATAACAATAATCTAATTGCTAAAAACTAGTGATAAAGAAAAAAGTATAAGTAAATTTAGAAAAGACCAGATAAAAAGGGAACCAAGATAAGAATGATAGCATATTATCAAAATCTAGACAATCCAGGAGGCAGTAGAGAAATACCTTTATTAAAAGAAGATAAGTGAAAACCCAGAATTCTTTATTCAATAAAAATATATTCAAAAGTGAAGGTGAAATAAAGATATTTTCATATAAGCAAACTTGAGAGTATTTACAGCAAAACTGATAAAGTTTTTCAGGCAAATGGAAAAAATGATAACGTTTTCAGGTAGATGGAACAGATGGAAATTTGAATCTGCACAAGAGACTGAAAAGTCCCAAAATGAATTGCTCATTGATTACAAAGAAAGAAATGGTAACTTTATGGTTGAGGAGCCTGGTAGACATCACCTTAACCAAGTGATAAAAATTATCACCAATAATGAGATAAACTGACACTAGGAACTTCCTGATCAAACATATTGAAAAGGACACACATCATTTGTGAGGTACTCATACCAAATATGTATCATGAGAATGTGATCATAAAGAAATAAGCAAACCCTAATTGAGGAACATTCTGTAATTCAAAAATATCATTGTAATCCATGATAAAGGAAAACTACTTGGAAGCAGCCTGTATGTCCATCAGCACATGAATGGATAAAGAAAATGTCCTATTTATA